TGCATATATAAGTTAAATAGAACGTTTATAAAGTGTACAAATTATTTCCTATATAATATATAAGTGGCTGCAGAGTTTATCATGGTTTCGGCGCTTGACTCCGTGACTCATAACATGGAAAAATAAGAATACGCGTCCAGGTGTTCGCGCTAATCAAAGGCATCCCGGTGATATCTATTACATGCACGCGCCTCCGCGCCGGGGATCGCGTAGCATCGCGGTCCTCCTCCTCCCTGTGCACCGCGGATTCATTCACCTTAATATATAAGGAAAAATAAGAATACGCGTCCAGGTGTTCGCGCTAATTCATTCACCATGATATGAAAGTCCCTATCAGCAGCCAGGTTTCGGCGCTTGACCACGCGACTCATAACATGGCCAATAAGAATACGCGTCCAGGTGTTCGCGTTAAAAAGTATCGAAACGAGTGACAGGTCAGCACCTTGCGTGATGTCAGGATCACTAGCCTTGGAGTACCCCGCCCCGCTCCCCTCGCCACGGAGTACCTCCCCGCCCCGCTCCCCCCTCGGAGCTCCCGGGTTTAGAACACCCTAGTATCCCCTACTAAGATGGCATATCAAAAAAATGACCCCCTTGCGGTTGACAGCATAACTCCAACAGCAGACGTCTGAAATCAAAAATTCAAAAAGATTATTAAATTATAGTCGAATAGCTATCGCAACATTGTAGGGAATTTGAAAATTTTGATTAGAAAAAATGGCGGCCATTTTTTTAAAAATTGAATTTTTCACTAAAATTTTGCAGTAAATTGTTAATAAAAAAAATAAGTAATTTAAAAACTGTACGATACTGCGATAGCGATACGTTTTTTGAAGAGAATCCAATTTGAATCAAGTCGATCGGACAAAATTTGATTGAGTTATGCTATCAACCAGGTCAAAAAACATGATTTCGAGAAAAACGCGTTTAGTTTTAAAAGAGGAAAATCGAGTGATGTAAGCTAAATATTAATATAAAACAAGCTTTTACCTATTAGTCTGCTATCCCTGGGCCATACAGAAGCTCTTCTGCGTCTATTGATGCCATCCCGTCGTCCTCAGCTAGTTTTCTGGCACTCAAGCGTCCTTCGCGCGTGTTCGCCGCTGAGACGTGATCGGCGTACTGCATTCGTTTTTGGTCGATTTCATGGCAGTAATTGAAAAGTTTTTCGCCTATGGACATGTCCAAGTATTCGGCAACATCTAAAAGAGCCACGTGACCATCGTTAAATATTATGGTCGCCAAATTAGCGGCTGTTTTGACTATTTGGGACCCGCAAAAACCACTTTTCGGAGCAAACTTCCAAATCACCGAATTTAAACTCTCGTTACTGTTTTGGTTAAACGCTCCCAAACATCTTTCGAGTAAGTCATCTCGACTGAGGTCAGCGTAAATTGGCTTGATTGCCTTCGCAACATTTGTTGGTAGTGCTGCTTCGTGCTTGTATGAACGAAGCGTACAAGCACCGAGCGCGCGAGCTTTTTGCCAAGTACACCACGACTCAGCGCCCTCCGGGCAGTAATCGTGTTGCGGATTTTCGTCAGTGGAGCACTTATGATAAAAAGTTGCCCACACAGCTTTTTTCATATTATCCAGTGAGTCACTATTGCGCCGAATGGCGAGTCCATAGTATAAAGTTAGATCTTTTATTAACTTATCTGTAAGCTTCCCTTTACCTCCGAGTCCTTTGTTCGCCTTTTTACAATTCCGCAACCGCGTGCCCATTCTCTTTTGGACGTGATTAACACACTCCTTCTTTTTCACTTCATATGAAACACTCTCGACTATCTTATTATATGTTTTGGAGTCGCCGTAGCCAATGTAATTTACGTAGCGAGTATCGTGTAATGCCTCGGCTCGTTCAAAAATTTTCACCATAGCAGCAGGTTCCATGTTACCGGCAGAGCCTGTGTGATTTGCGTCGCAGTTCTCGGCGTGCTCGTTGCTCGTTGTACCATAAGTCAT